GTAACCGTTCTACCAATTTGTACCAAACTCGGTGTGGTTATTGTGCTTGCCACATATAAGCAAAACGTTGAAAATTATTGAAATCGGACTAAAATAACGGCCGCTTCTCATATAACGGTAAATTTCAGAAATGCTTGAAACTTCAATATTTCGAAATTGAAGTACGCTTATTTACTCAAAATTGATACACCCCGGCTTACCATCTAGCGGAAGGTTTCGGAAAGGTGAAAAAACATATATTTAATACTTGCGCCGGGTATTTAATGTTCGGCTCCGCCCGAACTTAGACTTTCTTACTTGTTAATCTAACCTTTAAATATAAAGTGAGCTTTAAAGTTAAAGGATCCTTCAGAAAACGGCCCTAAACCCTTTAATTTGCAACGGAACCTTCTGCAAAAATTCTTGAAGGAAATGTTTTGAAAAGTTTTTTCCCTTCCTTGTAAATTTTCCACAAATGGTCTTAGCAACTTTTCACTCTAAGCCAGCGATATGAATGCCTGCACTACACTTAGGCGATTCGCTTAAATTCGTAAAGTCTTAAACTATGTAAAACTCATAAATTTACGAGGCTTTTATGGGAACGCCCCCTTTGTGAAAAGATGCGTAAATTGATTGTTTGACAGATCAACCAGGAATATCGGAGTTATATTCACAAGAAATGTTATACACTTTTGACAATAGAGGGCCTTTTTCAATGGCGGTTCATGCCTTCTCCACAAAGGTGGGTTGGAGGTGCCACGCCCATCCCACCTTCGCCCACCGTCGCTTCAACGACCGCTCTTATAGGAAAGTTTCCCCCAAGCAATTCTTATTTACATACCATCATAATTTTCAAATTGTGGGAAATACCTTTCCCATGGTATTTATAATCGGTCTAGACTTTATAGAAAAATATAGTTTCCTTCTAGATTAAAATTTTTACAGCTTAAACTGGTTTATTTTACGCCTAGGCCCCTTTAACACAAACACTAAAAGTAACTGTAAAAATAAATCATAAAATTGTAGAAATTCTTTAACACAAAGCAGCGCACTTGTAGGTACTGATTTTTTTGGAAAATCGCAAAAATTAGTTTTTTTGCACATTATAACGTATCTAATAAATACAAACTTGTGTTTTTCTCTTCAAGTTAAAATCTAGAAAACTGCGCGTAGGAAATACGGAATTTTCTATTTATTTGATCAGTATAAGGTCCTAAGTTAGAAACAAGGAAGAAGGTATAAGTTCATGTTCAAACATTAAATACCCGGCGCAAGTATTAAATATAGTTTTTCACCTTTCTGAGAACTACATGGTAAAAAGAGTGGTTTACCCCTATTTCTAACAATTTTGAGTTATACTTAATGAGAAAAACTTTTATGGATACATGTGGGCGGTATCACGCCCACTATCCAAACTTCTATAATAATGTTACTTATTTCAAGGGATTGTTGTTAGAATCAATTTTGAGTAAATTAGCGTCCTTAATTGACCGTTATATGAACAGTGGGAGTAATTTTAGTCCGATTTCAATAATTTTTACCGTTTTGCTTTTATGTGGTAAGCGAAATAATCATACCAAGTTTGGTACAAATTGGTCGAACGGTTACCGAGATACACATAATACCTGGTCATAAGTGGGCAGTGCCACACCCTTTTTCCAAAGTTTTATTATAACCGTGTTTTTTGTTTAAGAGTTATTGCAAACGTCAATTTTGAATAAATTTGCTTCTGTACACTTAATGATTTATCGAAGATTTCGTATTTCTCTAAATTACCGTTATATGGGATGTGGGCGTGGTTATTGTCCGATTTTAAAAATTCGTTTAACCGTTTGCTATGTTGTAATAAGGCTAACAATTGTGCCAAGTTTGGGAGAAATTAGTGTATCGGTTACCAATATATGCACATGTTATCATAAGTGGGCGTGGCTAAGTCCATTTTCCAAAAATTTATAATATTCTTATATTGCGTTTAAAAATCATTTTAAATATCAACTTTCAGCGAATAAACTACAGTAGTTATCGCAGTTTTCGTATTTCCAACTATTCCATTTTCAATACCAACCTACCTTGGGTAAAGGGCAATATACATACCAAAATTCGTTGAGATATCTAAATTTTTGCTCAATTTATCGTGTACACGGACGAACGGACGGAGAGACAGACATGGCTTCATCGACTTCTCTTTTCATTCTGATTATTTATGTATACATTTGTCTATATCTATCTCGATTCGTTTTGGCTGTTACAAACAACCATTATGTGAACAATGTTATAATACCTTTGTGAACAAGTGCGCTCGGGTATAAAAAGCATAGCTCCTTGGCACCAAAACCACTGTTAACCAGTGTAATAACAGTTACTCATTTGCGCAAAATGGCTAGTTCCTTAAGCAGGGATCACACGATTTATTCATTTGTACATTTTGAGAGTTACAGATTGGTATTGTATGGAAAGTCTTTTATTGAGCTGAACTCAGATTTCTAAACAACACTACTCTGTAACTGCCGAAATGTACAAATCTTTACAAATGTACAAATCGTGTGATCCCTGCTTTAACAAAACGTATGAACGTTAAACACATATTTACTTACGTATTATACTATTTGCAGGTATGGATCCAAATTGGCGGCACATAATTCCACCGGGACAAAAGGAGGTAATCTCTGTGGGACAATGTATTGAGGACTGCACCGCTTATGCCTTTCCGCCCCAGGGCATTCATATTTTTGCTGTTATGATGCGCACACACCAAATCGGCAAGGAAATAAAACTCCGTCAGGTAAATATCTTTGTATGTAAATGTTTACATTTGCCCAGCATGATGAGCATCGTTGCGGTTTTGGTAATTCTTTATCAGAATTGGAAATCTTTTCCGCGTTTATCGGACTTGGTTGTTTGACAAATAACACTAGGTACTCGACAAAAAAAATCACCAAGAATGAAATAAAACTTTTCTAGCGTAGAACTTTCTGGGTCTGGCCTAGGTTCTGAGATATCGGTGAAAATATGAAAACCCATAGTTGCGACACGTAACATAACATATGTGCATCGAATAGTTATATTTCTCACTCTATCGCTTTTACATCTGATTGGTTTGGTCACAATAGAAAAAAACTTGCAGAAAATTAAAAAACATCTTATTTCTTAAAAAGTTTCGAATGCAACCGACTTAAAATCAGAAAAAGTGTCAGACCAAAAAAAAAGTTTGCCACCCTATGTTACGGAGAACTCTATTACCAAATCGAATTTATATAAGGTGGCATCGATTCAACAAATACAACAATTACTTGTATTTTGTATTTTGTTTTAGCGAGTCATTGTTAAATTTCAGCTATACTTCCGCGAAGGAAAAAGGGCGACAGAAAAAATAAACACTATCACGTTTTCACTCAGTCATTAGCGAAATACAAAATTTTGACAATCACACGCTAATTACAGCTGATGAACCCACACCAACTTATATGAGTTCGCCTTGTCTATTAAAAAAAATGTAAGCCTACTAGCGCAGCTATTGGATGTATTTTTGATTTTATAGACCTATTCAATATTTAAAAATCTCGTGTCACGGTGTTAGTGGTCGAACTCCTCCTAAACGGCTTGACCGATCTTTATGAAATTTTTTGTGCATATATGGTAGGTATGAGAATCGGATGTAAAGTATATTTCATACCGCTAGGTGCAGGGGGCGTGGCACCTCCCATACAAACCGAATTTTCCACACTGCATATCTCTGAAAGTGTTCATGGTAGACTACTCGAACATGGCATGGAAATATACGAAAACAATCGCATACTCATGGAGAAAAATTGTCGTTTTTGGAAAAGGGGGCGTGGCGCCTCCCATACAAACCGAATTTTTCATACTGCATATCTCTGGAAGTGTTCGTGGTAGAGTACTAGAGCTTGGTATGGAGATATATGAAATCAATCACATGGTCATAAAGAAAAATTGGGGCTATTAGAAAAAGGGGCGTGGCACATGCTATACAAACCGAATATTTCATTCTGCATATCCCGAAAAATGTTCATGGAAGAGGACTCGAACATGGTATGGAGATAAATGCAAGCAACCGCATACTCATGGAGAAAAATTGCGATTATTGGAAAAGGGGGCGTGGCACCTCCCATACAAACCGAATTTTTCTTACTGCATAACTCTGCCAGTGTTCACGATAGAGTACTGGAATTTGGCGATAGGGACACCCTATCCTAAAGCAATTGTCTCAATTTTTTTATTTTAGAATTTTTAGTAAATTGGTATGAAAAATCTAATATATAAAAATATATATAATCAATCACATAGTCATGAAGAAAAATTGGGGCAATTGAAAAAGAGCGTGCACCTCTCATACAAACCGGCTTTTTCATACTGCATATTTCTGGAAGTGTTCATGTTAGAGTACTCGAACATGATATGGAGATAATATGAAACCAATCCCATACTCTTAGAGAAAATTGCGGCTATTTTATAAGGGGCGTGGCGCCTTTCAAACGCACTGAAGGTATTACGTATCTTTGTATGCATATACACTTGTTCTAGGTTATTTAAGATGGCAATGGAAATATGCCTTCTGACAACCACCAAACCGTAATATTAGAAGATAAATGCGTCACTGAGAATCATGAACGTGAACTGTTGGTGAAAATGTTGGACCAAAATGTTTCAATACAAAAAATTAATTTTGGGCGGGACGAAGTTCGCCGGGCCTGCTAGGTTTTATATAAAGTCTGTAACTTAAATTTTCCTTTCATATAAGGCATTTGAGTAAAATTTTTTAAAAGCTATAAATTCATTTTTTTTCATTCATTACACACGTATGCAGGATCACAATCGATTAAGAGATTTGATAAGCTCAAGGCTGGTTTGATAAAAGAAAAAGCTTTGCAAATGCATTTGATAAGAAATAGGCTGTTTTAGTATTGTAATTCGCAAAATTTTACCCTGCAAATCATTAAATGAATGAAACATGAGACAACAATTTACATTAATTTCAAGAAATTATGTATTAACTCAGGGGCGAACGTAGATAGGGGTTTTTGGGGGTTCAACATCCCAGATGCTCTGGTAACGCCGCCTTGTATGAATTCGCCTTGGAACTAACATAGTCCCTAAAAGTACTACATACATATATACCATACACATATCTTTGGTTTGAATTACCTTTCGAAGCTTTCGAAAGGGGGTGTCCTTTTTCAAGTCGAACACCCAATTTGACACCACGCTTCCGATTTGGCTCAACCTCGGTTTACGGGTTCTTTACATAAAACTATTTGACTCGTATCCCAGGATTTATTTGGATTTTTCCTCAACCAGGCAAATCATAGACTAATTCAAATCGGTATATCCCGGCTTCTACTCATCGTAGAGATTTCATCTTAACCCCATTTGAAAGCTAAAGAATATATTTTAGTACGCATTTAAATTTTTACCGTTAAATTTTATTTTTTCTAAACAGATGCATTTTTTTAAGTTTATTCTCACAGTGTTTACACCAACTTTTTAAGTTTAAAATAACAACAACGTATTCCTTGTTTAATTCTCTACACAATCAATATGTTTAAAAAATGGGATGAACATACGGACTTTTATTAAAATAAATATTCATAATTTTTTTTTGTATGAGCGAGTAAATTTGTTTTATATTTTGAAGTGAAACTTCTTTAGCGGCTGTTGGTTGGTTGGGAGTAAATTGGCAAATTCAAAGGAAATTGCACACGGAAATGGTGTGACTACGTACATAGATAAAGAAAAGGAGAAAGGCAAAGGTAAAAATAAAAACAAAAACAAAGACGCGTAAAGGTAAAGGCAAAAATGAAGAAGAAGGGCAAAGGTGAAGGGGAATATGCAGATGAAGAAAATGATAACCGTAAAAGTAAAGACAAAGAGGAGGATGAGGATACCGATAAAAGTAAAGATGAGGATAGGGGAAGAAAGATTAAAATAAAGATAATTAAAGAGGAAAGGATATAGAGAGAGGCACAGAGACTCAATCTGGGATTTTAGAGATTTTCGGCATTCTTGGGACTTATCGATAAAATAATCGATATTTTTATCGGTTTTTTTTCGATTTTTTTATCGAAACTTTTATTGATATTGTTATCAATTTTGCTATCGATATTTTCGGAACTTATGGATATAATAATCGATATTTTTATCGATGTGTTATAGATTTTTTTTAACGATTTTGTAAGCGATATTTTTGATCGATTTTGTTATCGATATTTTTATCGATTTTGCTATCGATATTTTTTTTGATTTTGTTTTCGATATTTATCGATTTGGTTATCGATCTTGTTTTCGATATTTATCGATTTTGTTATCGATATTTATCAATTTTGTTATCGATATTTTTATAGATATTTTTATTAATATTTTTATCGATTTTGTTATAGACATTGTTGTTGATATTTTTGTCGAATTTTTTATCGATATTTATCGATTTTGTTATCGACATTTAACGATTTTGTTATCGATATTTATCAATTTTGTTATCGATATTTATCAATTTTTCTATCGATATTTATCTATTTTGTTATCGATATTTATCGTTTTTGTTATCGATATTTATAAATTTTTTTTATTAGAATAACATAAATGTAATAAGATAGAAAAAAGAAAAAATATAACCTTAAGCAAAAGCAGAAGTATATATGTACATATCGCACACCGTCTTCATAAGAGTCACAACTCAAAATTTGGCATTTTTGAAATTATGCGCTAAAAATATACACAGAGCTTTTATTTACCTTTCAGCAAAAGCTGAAGCAAATTTTTGTTATAGTATGTTAAAAAAACCTAAGGTAAAGTCACTACTGCTCATATGATTATGTGCTACGAAATAGTTTTTCGCATTTTCTGACGAACGTATTATTTTGAGTTGTGACTCTTTTGAAGACGGTGTGCGATATGTATATTGGTTATGAGCAGGGAACGGATTTTTAGGACCTAAAAACCTATAAAAAAGGCAAAATAAAATAACGAGATAGGCTGGAAAAGGCAAAATAAAATTGCGAAAAGGCAGGAAATGGCACTAGGTATTGCAAAAAAGGCAAACAAAGGCAAAACAAAATAGCGAAAAAGGCAGGAAAAGGCACTAGGTATTGCAAAAAAAGCAAAATAAGGCACTAAAAAACGACAGAAAATACGAAAAATAATCAAAAAATACATTTCTTTTAGAAATGTTTATATTACAAGTAAAAAAGAGAAAAACTATGAACTAGTTTCATTATATGAAAAATTTGTACTTTGAATCTTTGACTATTTTATCCTTTCGAGTTTCTAACTCATAAAACTTTAATCTGTATAGTTGTAGTAACATTGAACCACAAAATGCATTTTGAAGTTTTCTGGCATTATTTTCATTCGATTTTCGCGAAGAAAAGCCTTGAATGTACTAAATGTGCGCTCGACGGAAGTTGATACAAGTGGAGCCCAACTTAAAACGTTTGAAATGTTCATATTATCAGCAATAAGGGCGTTTTCCTCGCCCTTTACAATTTTATCCACACCCCTTATTGTCTCCAAGCCTACGTTAGCTGAGAAAACGGCTTTGAATTTTTCCAACACCAATTTGGCAAGAGGTTCCTGCGCTTCTATAAGCCGCATGGGCTTTAAAAAAAATTATAAATGCTTTAATCACTTTTTTAAAGGTAGAAAAGGCAAATATCTTAAAAAAGGCAAAAAAAGGCAAATATCTTAAAAAAGGCAACATCAAATGTGTATATATGGAATCAGGGAAAGCTAAATCGTGGACATTCTTAATCGAATACACTCTATCTC